TCTAAGGTCCCATCTCAAGACCTACTGAATCAGAAACTCCAAGGATGGGGCCCAACCAATCTATTTTAACAAGTCCTCTGTGTGATTACGATGCATGCCGAAGCTTGAGAATCACTGTACGAGGTGTTAGCCCTACACTACATACCTCAAATTTAAGAAACATATATCCATATAATCAGATAAATAAATTACCAATAACTTTAGGGCTGGAAGATTATTCTGTTAAGTGATATCCGGTGTAAGTATATAAGCCTCTTTTTAAAAATAAGCATAATTTGTATATAAAAGCAACCCCAAGCTTATAAATGAGATTTGTTAAAGAAGTATAATTGTAAATACATTATTTGGAACTAAGGTCATATTCACCCTTTAGAAGGAATCTCACAAATTGATTGCTTTGTAAGATTGCTTGAATGCCAAGATAGATCAAAAAAAAAAAAAAAAAAAGCCTTTTAAACACAATACAAAGATTTGTCACAGCAAAATCTTCCGTGGGTAATGGGTAAAAACAGATCAAAATTCTAACTCAAATAACTGGAATGGTTCACTTTTCCATCACAAAACTAGTAATGGAAAAAAGCAAATTTCTTCTTCTTCTTTTTTTTTTTTTTTTGAAACGGAGTTTCGCTCTTGTTACCAGGCTGGAGTGCAATGGTGCGATCTCGGCTCAACCGCAACCTCCGCCTCCTGGGTTCAGGCAATCTCCTGCCTCAGCCTCCCGAGTAGCTGGGACTACAGGCACGCGCCACCATGCCCAGCTAATTTTTTGTATTTTAGTAGAGACCGGGGGGTTTCACCATGTTGACCAGGATGGTCGCCATCTCTTGACCTCGTGATCCAGCCGCCTCAGCCTCCCAAAGTGCTGGGATTACAGGCTTGAGCCCCGCGGCCGGCCTTTTGCAAATTTCTTCTTACATTGACCTCTACGGGAAAATTAACATTTTTCTCTTCCCTTCTACCCCCCATCTCTGCAAGAATAGAGTGGAGTTGATGCAGGAAGCTGGCACAACTAGGGAAGAATGGGTATACAGGATGAATGCAATGGAGAAGGCAAGAGGGGAAGTGTGACAGCTCTAGCAAGTGTGTATCTTGGTAACAATATTGTACGTGATCATGTACAGGACTTCCATGGGTTGGAGGTTTGGTCTCCTGCTCACAAGTTTGATATCTGTAACCAAACCAAGAATTTCAGAACAACAGATGTGAACATTAAGATTTTCAACTAAAAAGAGCAGCATTAGGTAGGGAAAAATAGGAGGACAAAGAGGCTGTTTTAGTCTCAAAGTATTCTAACTTCCCACAAGACATACATTAATAACAAAGAAAAAAAAATAGTAACCCTATAGTGGAAAAACCTGGCAGAGATCACCTTAACCAAATGATAGTAATATCACCAGCATCGAACAAAGTGACTTCATTTGCATCTGATATGACACACTAGAAAAAATACAGGCCTTTTGTTTCTTGAGCAGGCTACTAGCTAACATGAATCATCCTTTTCAGAAATAAAAATCAAGAGTGAAACATTATCATACTTCCTTTCTAAATTTCTTTAAATTTTTTGTTGGTACGAATATTTGTACATATTTATGGGACGCATGTGATAATTTGTTACAAGCAATCCTATTCTGGGTATTTATCCAAAGGAAAAGAAATCAGTGTATCAAAACAGTGCCTGCACTCTCATGTTTACTGCAACACGCTACTCATAATAGCAAAGATAATGGAATCAATCTGTTAAGTGCCCATCAATGCATGAGTAAATAAAGCAAAGGCGGTGTATATATACATGATGGAATACTATTCCGTCATAAAAAAGAATAAAACCCTATCATTTGTAGCAATGTGGATGGAACTGGAGGTCTTTAAGTGAAACAAGCCAGGCACAGAAAGACAAGTATCATATGTTCTCACTCGTGCAAGAGCTAAAAAAAGTGGTCTCATGACGGGGGTGGTGGCTCACGCCTGTAATCCTAACATTTTGGGAGGCCGAGACAGGAAGATCACCTGAAGTCAGGAGTTCAAGACCAGCCTGGCCAACATGGTGAAACACTGTCTTTACTAAAAATACAAAAATTAGCTGGGCGTGGTGGCAGGCACCTGTAATCCCAGCTACTCGGGAGGCTGAGAGAGGAGAGTTGCTTGATCCCAGGAGGCAGAGATTGCAGCGGGCCGAGATCACACACCGTTGCACCTCCAGCCCTCGGCAACAAGAGTGAAACTCTGCCTTAAAAAAAAAAAAAAAAAAAAAAAAAAAAAAAAAAGTGGTTTCATGGAGGGAGAAGACAGAATGACAGATAACAGAAGCTGGGGGTGAGGGGGAATAAACAGAGGTTGGTTAACAGGCACAAATACGCAGTTAGATAGAAGGTATGAATTCCAGTGTTTCAATAGCAGAGTAGGGTAACTACAGTTAACAACAATGTATGGTATATTTCAAAATAGCTAGAATAGAGGACTTAGAATGTTCCCAGCATTTAGAAATGATATATTTCCATTTCATGTTATATAATAAACAATACAGCAATAAGTAACTACTTAACAGACTTCTTTAGAGTACCTTTACATAATGTAAATTTGTGAGCATTAAAAATAATCTACCTAGGCAGCATAGGGAGACTCTGTCTCTACAACTATTTTAAAAATTAGCCAGGCAGGGCAGCATACACCTGTGATCCAGGCTACTTGTGCTGCTGAAGTGGGGAAGATCACTTCAGCCTAAGAGATCAAGGCTGCAGTGAGCCATGGTGGTGCCACTTACAGTCTGGCCTTCATGAGAGTGCAACACCTATCTCAAAAACAAAGCAAAAACCTACCAGCTAAGTATAAAAAGCCACGTAGAATATTTCAGATCTCAATAAATTAATATATAATCGCTGTTACTATGTCTATACAGTTGCTATTGTCTAAAATTAAATTAGATATAATCACAAAACACCGAAGACACCCTGCATTTGTGCTTATAACAATGTCTAGATGTTTTCGTGGTGCCATGTTTTACAGTTTTAAAGAAACTATGTTAAATTCTTTTCAGCTTTTAAAACTTTGAGCTGGGCAAGATTTCTTATAACATGAAAAGCAAAACTATAAACAAAAATACCACTAAATTGGAATTAATCAAATGTTAAATTTTTTTGCTGTCAAAAGATAGTTAACAAAATGAAAAGGCAAATCAGACTACAGAAAAAATTTCCAAAAATCGCCTATTTGATAAGGCTTTGCATCCAGAATATATAAATAACTCTTAGAACTCAGCAATAAAAAAGACAAATAACCCAACTTAACAACGGGCAAGAGACCATAAACAGACATTTCACTAAAGATAACTAAAAATGGCAAATAAGCACATGAAAAAATGATCAACTTCCCTAGTCCCGTAACAAAATTAAAAGCTCAATGACATACCACTACATACCATACTAGAATGACTAAACTTAAAAGAGCAGAAACACCAAGTATTGGTGGTAATGCGGAACAATTAGAAGTCTCACACATTGCTCCTAGGAATGCAAGACGGTACAGACAGTTTGGAACACTTTGGCAATTTCTTATGAAGTTAAACATATAGTTACTCATATGACCCATCAATCCCACTTCTGGGGACACAAAAACACAGTCTCCCAAAAGCCTTGTGCAAGATATTCAAAGCAGCTTTATAATAGCCTCCAAGTAGAAACAACCCAAATGCCCATCAACTGGTGGCTAAACTCTGGTACATCTATATAATAAAATATTATGCGGCAATAAAGGAACTACTGACACATACAACTTGGATAAATCTCAAAAGCCTAAGTGGAAGAAAACTAGGCAGAAAAGAGTATATACCATATGATTCCATTTATTAATTAAGTTGAGAAAGAGCAAAACTATAGTGATGGAAAACCTATCAGAGGTTGCCAGGAACACCAGTGGAAGGAGGGAACTTCTACATCTTAATTGTGGTGGTGAACATACATTGTCAAAACTCATCAAATTGTACACTTAAAAATTGTAGAAAGTTTACTGTACTTAAATTATACCTCAAAGCTGATTTTGTTAAAAAAAAAAAAGTATAAATGGTTATGGTTAGGACAGTAACTAGAATGGAGTATACGAAAGACTCCAGGTTGCTGGTACTATTCTATTTCTTGATTTGGGTAGTGGACACATGGATGCTTAGTTTGGGGAAAGTCACTGGGCTGTATTTTTCCACATGTATTTTTTATTCAATAAAAAGCTTACTAAAAAATAAAAATAAAAGAATGGGTCCTCAAGAGTCTGAGGCTGAAAAGACTTCTTACACATAGCAGCAATGACTGAAAACTACAGCCAAGAAAATGACTAGAAGGTAAGCAAAGGAAGAGAATGCTAAGTAACCACTAATTATAGGGAATTCAAAAAGTAGCCACTTGTCTGAAGTATATTTTCCTATGTGAGGGACTTGACTAATAATCTAGCTAGATTTGGGTTGATATTAATATATACAGTTATGTACCATTTAACAAGTTTGGTTGATGATGGACCACATATACAACCAGGGTCATATAACATTATAATAGTTAAAAAATTCCTATTGCCTAGTATATCACGGCTGTTCTAACATCTTAGTGCAAGGTTTTATGTGTATAGATATGTTCAGATACACAAATACTTAACAGTGGTATTACAACTGCTGACAGCATTCAATACAGTAATATTCTGTACAAGTTTGTAGCCTAGGAGTAATAGGCCATACCCATATGGCCTAGGTATGTAGTAGGTCACATCATGTAGGCTTGCTTAAGTACACTCTATGACGTCTGCACAATGACGAAATCACCTGATGATGCATTTCTCACCTGTCATTAAGCAAACCTTGACTGTATATGGTTAGGACACACTGGACTTTTCCACAAACCTCACTCAGCATAACCCTTTATTAAATGGGGTTCATTTTTATTTCTAAAGATACTCATAACACAAGTATTTTCAGAACATTTTCAATTCAAAAATTATATTTGTTTAAGAAAAATCTTACTTACCTCCTTCATAAATGACTTGCCTATGCGCACCACTTTTGCAAATAAAATGGGATCATGAGAAAGGTGAGGACCAAGGTAACAGAACATATTAAACACGTCTCTCCTCAATCTTCAAAACTGTCAGCTTGTTTTGGTGCCCTCTGTTTTGCAAAGCATTAACAGGTGAGCCCTTAGCACCTTTAGGAACACCAACTCTATTATAAAAAGTAAAATAAATATAATAAGTATACATACACACATACTAAATGCTACCAATTTAACACAGTTATCTTCATCAGTGAAATTTTTCTTGATCATATTTGCTTTCTACATTTCAATTGTGCCTAACTTTATATATACCAGATAATTCTCAACTGGTAGGAACACATAAAAACAACAGTCTCTAAGGAACAAAAAAAAAAGAAAAATCAGAGCTCAGAGGAGAATGTTCCAAACTAACTGCTTACTCCGAGAAGTGCAGATTTCAGGGAATGTTTAACATACACCATCTGACTCTTGTTTTTAAACTTGGCCAGTATTGGGAACTTGGATAAGGGAATGGGAAAAAAAGGAATGGACCTAAAGATACATCGGGAGATGAAACAGAAAAATATGGATGTAACAACACTTGATTCAAGTCAACGGACATTTCTGAATCTGGATTCCACAAAACGAGAGTATGCAGAGTGGG